CTTTAAATATATTTAAATTCTGAGGGGGGCGCTCAGAAATATTTCTCAGAGCTGAGGCACTAAGATGGCCGCCTTGAAATTATTTTTAAAACAACCCCCCCTCCAGCACCGCCACCCCCTCCATAAAGAAAGGGAGAGGGGGAAAAATCCCCTTTTAAAACAAAATGGCTGGCTTAATATTTCATTTTTCACCCCCCCATTCTCCTCCCTGGTACACCCCCATCTCCAAGCCTCTACCCAGAAACCCACAAATTTCTCCCTTTTTTCATAACTGATTAGTGCACAGATTAATAGAGATATTTTCCTTGTGTACTGAAGTGTGTGTGTGTGTGTGTGTGTGTGCTGGGGGGGCATGAAGGATTTCTGCATAAAACAAAAATGGCTGCTGTGACTAACTCCCCCCTTATAAAAAATATTTGAGGGGGGGCATTAATCAGTACTCATGCTCAGTCTGACATCAGCATAAATTGTTAAAGGTTAACTAGTTAGATACTAGTCCAACTAGATGTAATTTTTTTTCTTTTCTTTACTAGTCTCTTCCTCCCCACCTCCCTTCTCTAAAGAAAAGCTTTTTTTTTTTTTTTTTGAATACTTCAGAAGGGAGTGGTTTGATGTGAAGGTTTTTTTTTTTTTCCCCTTCAGGCATTGAAAAGGAAAAAGATGAAATATATGTTTATATATAACTCTGTTTCTACATACCTCATTGAAGTCAAAACGCATTTAATTGTGTACGTATTTTTCAAATGAGAAGCGGTACTGGATTTTTTTCTTCTTTCTTTAAAAAAAGTGATAGAAATCCTAGTGACTTTTGGGGGAGAGATATGAATAGATACGATGATTGAGTTTTTTTTTTTTTCAAAGGAGTCCATGTTTTATTCTCCCCTTTGCCCAGCCTTTTCAGTGATTTATAATTGTTGTAAATTTTCTCTGCACTCTTTTCCTCTTTCCTTCTCCGTCCCCCAATTGCTTGGAAGTAAAATTCATCTCATTTGAGGCATGAATTTGGGGGTAAAGAGAACAGATGTTTAGAATAAAGAGGAAAGAGTCAAGTCCGAAGGTTGTGAAATTATGTTCTTTTCTCCTGTTTCAGTCTATTTCCCTTCCTCCATGATCTCCAGCAAGTAGAAGAAACTGAGGTACCATCAAAGAGCAAAGTAACTGGGACTGAGAAAATGAAAGGTAGGGTACCGTGCAGGCATTTCCATCTTAACTTTCTGACCCATGGTTTTCAGCTCTACCCGTGTTTACCTTAAAGTGGTTCCAGGAATCCCACGGACAGTTGAAAAGGAGTCTAAAAGTGGGTTTCTCATACTGAGGTTCGATCAGAGAAGTCTAGACATAAAATAAAACTAACCAAAGGAGCAAAGGAGGAGGGTGACTAGCTCAGTTCTCCCCTTTTTTTTCTTTCTTGTCCCCTTTTTCTGACTCTAGTTCCCGCCCGTTCTTTTGATCTCTCTCTCTCCCCTTCCCTTTGCTTTCCACCCCATGTCTGTGGAATCATTTCTCTCCTGGGTTATTTCCCTACCTCTGGAGTCTAACTGCTGGCCACCAGCTTCTGCAGTGCTCCAGGGCCTGGAGAGGGAGAGGGAGGTGGGCAGCAACCAGAGTATTAGTGATAGGAACTACTATGCCAAGTTTTGTTTACGAGGCTAAAATGTTCTCTATTGATGTTCCACCCCCCTCACTAATGCACTTTATTGAGCACTGGTTTCCATCTTTTTTTTTTTAAACTGGCCTTTTGAGATCTCTTGCCACTGCTCCCCTGTCGTTCCTGTACTAAGTCTCACTCCCTCTTGCATTGATTTTGCTCTCCTGTCCTCTAGCTCAGTCTCTGTACCCGCCTGCCTGAGCACCCCCCACCTTCTGTGTGTGGGCTTCTCTGTACGTGTGTCTTTATTTTTCACCGAGACTGTCTTTCTCATCCCTCTGACTCAGGCTCTCACCTCGAAGTGACTTTCCACCTCTGTCTTCTTTCTGTTTACTTCTGCCTTCCGGTCCCTTGGCTGTGTGTGGCTCTTCCTCATGTGTGCTTGACTCCCCCTCTTGCTGGCCCCCTCTGTGTGTGTCTGGATCTCACTGTGTCTCCACGTGTGTGCGGGCCACACTGCACATTGTGTGCGCCGCAGTCTCACTGCCTGTGCCCTCTCCCTCTGTGCCCAGGGCCCCTGCCTGCCTGCCACATGTGCCATGACCTGCAGGTGTAGGTGGCTAAAGGTGGCCGTGTGCATCCCTGTACAGACATTCGTCATTCTCTTCGGAGTGTACTTTGCATACGGATTTGTTAATTTCCCTGATTCTCCCTCTCTGTGTCCATCTCTCCTTCTGCCTGTCTGCCTGTCTCTCCTGTTCTTTTTCCTCCCTACTGACCTCTTGATTTTTCTTCTTCGGTCCATGTTTCCGCCTGCCTCTCTACCTGCTTGCTCCTATTATGATGTCTGCCTGCCTGCCTGCCTGCCTGTCTGCTCCTCCCTGGCTGGTTGGCAGCCTCTTTCGCTCTCTGGTTGTCTGTCTGCTTCTCTGGCTGTTTGCCCACCACTCTCTCTCTAGCCATCTGTCTCCCCGCCTGCCTGTCTCTCTCACTTTTTTAGCCTGCATCCCTTGGTTTGTCTACCTTCCAGGGCCTGCCGTGGCTCCCCGTCTTGATTTGCCTCTTGTCTTGCCCATCTTCTGTTCCTCCTCTTGTTTATGCCTGTGACAGGCATCATTTTTCCTTGCCTCCCCTTAGGTTTGTCTTCTTGCCTATCTGCCCCGCTTCCTCGCTACTGTCTCACAGTTTAATGTTTGTATCTTTTTAGGTTTTTTTCCTTACCCTCTTTTTCTCCTCTCTTGGCTTCCTCTCTACCAACATCCCATCAGTGGGGAGGGGTCTCTCTCCCCTGAACCTCTGAGTGACCTCTTGCCCAGTCTTGCTCAGTTGCTTGCCATGTTCCCTACCCTGCCTTCTCTCACACTTGCCTCCATTTCTGCTGTCCCTTTTTCTTTCTGTCCTTCTGGTTCATCTGTCTGTCCGCCTCAGTCTTTGCCATTTCTCTGTAATCCCTCACTGTCTTCTGGTTTTTTTTTTTTTTTTTTTTTTTCAGTCTTATCTCTTTGGCAGGCTTTTGCCGGTCACCTCTGCTTACTTTTCTTTCTCCTTAATTTTTCCCCCAGTCAACTCTTTTAGATTTTGCAACAGAGTGTGTGCACTCTCCAGACAGAGACAGACAGAGAGGGAAAGTGAGAAATTGCCCCCAGTGGAGATGACCACAACACAATCCTTTCTCTTCCATTCTCTTCTTGGGATTTTGGGCATGCATGCACACACACCCAGCATGTTTTCAAGCCGCTGGGTCAGGGACTTAAATGGTCCATGAATCGGGTTATGGGGGATCCAGCACCTTCACCACCACGCCACCTACTGCCCCCCGACCCCAGTCATCTTTGGAAAGGCGATACATGTGATACTTACAAAACTAAAAGTACGCTGTGGAGGTCAGCAGTATGGTGCTTGCGGTATGTGGTTAAGGTGGCCATACCCACATGACCAACTGTGTGGTTTGAGTCTTGGACCCAGTGGTTTGAAAAACAGGTGGGCACCCATGTATGCATGCCCCAAAACCCCAAAAGGAGAAAGGGATTGTGCTGTTACCATCCCCCTGGGGGGTACTTTCTCACTCCCCTCCCCTTCTCTCTCTCGGTCTCTCTCTCCGTCTCTCTCCAGCAAGCATATGTGCCATATAGCAAGTTAAAATAAAACATGATTTTTTTTTAAAGAAAGTATGCCTCCCTTTGTCCCTCTCTCCCAGTCCCCAAGTTCCTGTCCCCAGGGGTAGCCGTTATTTCAGATCTCATGGATACTGCGTCGGAGAAGAGGCTGTACCTGTACAAGTCTACTTGCTTTCTGCCGTACTTCTGACGACTCCTCTCCCAGTTTTGCTGGGTGCTCCTTTTCTGTCAGTCTGTCCGTTTTCTTTCCTAATTTGCTAGGCTTGCCACCTCTTGTTTCTTGTCTTTTTGATTCTACTTTATGGCACTTGTCTTTTTGATTGAACAGTTACTGGTTGCAAGCTTGTACTACCAATGCCCGAGGAGCGCCTAGGAAGGGCTTTCTCTCTCCTAATGTCCTAGTCCACTCTGCTCCGTGAGTTGTCTTGATGACAGCACACCTTTGTTGATCTCTTCATTACTGGAATATGTTTTAATTGAGAAAAGACATGAACACACTAATAGTGGGTCATGAGAAAAGTCATGATGCATTTCTGCATAGAAAAATACGTCACGACTTTCCCAATGACCCAGTACTGAAAAATAGCATAAAAACATAGGTTCCCTTGTAAGTACAGATAGTACTGGCTCTGCTTGTCCCACTTAGTCTATATGAATTCTTTAAAGGCATATGAATCTAGATTCTTTAGGTTATTGATCCAGGCCTGTCTAAAAAGCCTGTCTTCCTCCTAGTCTAGAAAGCTATGTTTCTTACTAAAATGTTTCACCTTTTCCATCCGTTCTTCTGACCTCTCTCACCTACCACCTTAGAGGGCAAAGAAAGACGTCCCCTCTACCAAGGACTATTTGAGAGTGATGACGAAACTTTGACACAATGCCCTGTTCTTTCATTTCTGCTTTTTGACTACCTATATCCTGAATTTAACCGTTTGAACCTCTGTCTCTGTGTCTTTCCCTTCTCCTGCCCTGTCTCACTTCTCTTTTCTTGGTTCTGTCTTTCCTCCTACCTGTCTGTCTTGGGCTCCATTCTAGCCTCTCCTTCTGATTGGCCGCCTCCCCTCTCTTCTGTCTGATTGGCCTGTATCCCTCCATCACCCCATCTGTCTGCTGGATTCTCCCTGTCTGCCTGCAGTAATATATGTGATAGCACTTCATAAATTATAAAGCACTATGTTGTATAAAACACTATTATCACTTTGTCTTCCTTCTTACCTTATTGTTTTCTTCCTTTATCTGCCTGCCTGCCTTCTCTCCCTCTACCCCTTCCTGTTTGCCTGTCTGCATCTCTCTTGGTGATCTTAGTGCCTCTCTGTCAGTCATTCTCCTTTCTCTCCCTGCCAGCCTGTCTGTTTTTTTCTCTCTGCTCAGTTCTGTGTCTCTCCTTCTGCGTTTCCAGGTTTCTCTCTCTATTTTTTTCCTGTCTACTCTGTCTGTCCTTAGGCTTTTTATCTGTGGCTGTGTGTCTCACTGTCGACAGATGCTTGTCCCCTACCTGTCAGTTTCATGTGGGCATTACACTGCTTTTTTCTGTTTGGGTGTATTTCAAAAAATAAAATATTAAAGTTCCTTATGACTAATTGGTAGAGGAGAGTACTTTTTGTTTTTAACGAGGATATTGTTAAGGTGAGAACAAGAAACGCAGACACATAGCTGTCAAATGCAAACCAGAGATTAGATGCCACCCCCCCACACACACACACACAAAAAAAAAAAAACTAGAAAAAAATTGTAAAGGACTCCAAATCCAATAAGATTATTTAAAGCAAAAGCAACACATTGATCCAAAACAAAAGTTTCTAACCTTTTTGGATCATGGAAAGTTATAAGCCCTTTGCCACGCTACAGGGCTGAGATGCTGTGCTCAGCAGACTGGGGCAACACAGAAGACCCAGGTTAGAGTCACAGTCCAGCCCAAAGGCTCGGCGCAGTGGTGTGACCTGTGATCCCAGCAACTCAGAGAGGCTGGGGCACAAGGATCAGAAGCTCGAGGCTGGCCTGAGCTCCATAATAAAACTGTCTGAAAGGGGGTAGGCACAGTGGTGTACACTGGTGGCCCCAGCTGGGAGGCTGAGGCAGGAGAATGGCAACATACCAAAACCTGGTCTTAGAAAAGAAAAATGAAGGAACCAGCAGTTGGTGTTGCTGGACTCCCATGTGGTGAACCGCAGTTAGAGTCCCAGACCAGGTGGCTTAAACTCACACCAGATGCGTGTGTGTGTGTGTGTGTGCCCAAGATCCTGAGAGGCAAATGGAGGAGAAGGAATTGCGGTGTGGCCATCCCCCCTGGGGGGTGACTTATCGCTTTCTGTCTGTCTGTCTCTGATGAGCGCACATGCCCTAAAGCAAAAATCTCTGCCCCCCCCCCAAAAAAAAAGAAAAATGGAAAGAAAGATACAAACCTTTTCCCAGGGGGTGGATGGATGGATGGATATGGAGATAGATAGATAGATAGATAGATAGATAGATAGATAGAT